CCTTTATGCATTATGAGTCGTACTGCTCCGACGGAAGCAGCCTTGCTGAAAGATGCAGCAGAAAGAACGCTGGTAGCCAAGGACAACTGCGTAAGACGACCAGGGCAACGAGCGTGCGAACACCAGCAGATGGCAAACGAGCGAAGACAGCATTATTGCTACCAGGAAGGAAGACGATGAGAACAATGGGCAGAGGTCCTGAGGTGGTGGGCCTTGCGGCCACGGTCCAGAGGAAGAGCCTCAGCCGTACCAGCCGTACCCAGGGCCTCCGACCCCCAGCCCCCAGCATCATCGGACCTCCTTTTCTCAAACCAGTCTGGAAGCAGCCTCGAATTTACATGTGCTTTGCAAGCATTGTTATTAAAGGGTCCCCATAAAGGCATCATGAACTAGCTGCAAGCCTCGTCTTAGGCTCCACGGGTTCAATCAGATGTTTGGGCCCGCATCATTGGGGCTTTAGGCTGCCCGTACGTACTTGGCCAGGCATTATGGGGTCATGAGGTTGGATGCCTCGCGGAGGCTATCATGGTTCTTGGTGAGTTTATCATGGGTTTATTTGGTCAAAAAGGGTCGGGTAGTGCAATGAATAACGCACGTCTGTTTTGATCTTCAAAACGCAGCCTCCAGAGTGCAGTCAACTTCTCGACCAATAAACGCCTGGATCTCCGCCCAACACTAGGAGGCTTAGCAAGGGGATCCTACCAAGTGCGGGGTCCTTTCCTACAAAGAATTAGGGGGCTGTAAGCGCACTCCCAATCTGGGCTTGGTCTTGTGATGTTCTCATCCCCGCACGACAAAAGAACGGGAATAGTCAAAACTCGCATACAATTCACAAGTAATTCCAACCAAGCATTTTCTAGACACCCAGCAAATCTCAGAAAAGACTCAGCCAAAAGCCAAAACATTTTGATGTTATTTGAAATTTCTTTGTGTTCTTTCTTGATTTTTTGGTGTTGCATGTAAATCAAGGTCGGCAGTGTAGGCTTTGGCACGGTAATTGTTTATGGGTTGAAATCCATCTCATTTTCTGAGTGTTTTAAACATGTTAAACATGTTTTGCTTTTGTTTTTTTGAGATTTTTGTTGGGTTTTTAATTTGTGACAAGAAGCTGTTATCATGTGGGACGACAACTCCACAAATATAGTCCAAACCTACAGAAGCTCACAAAAGGACAACGTTTTCACGTCATGCCTACTTCTCAACGTTGACCTGGCTAAGGCATCAGACCTAGGTGGGAAAATCGGGCGGCCAGATGGACCCCAAAGGTTGGGACCAGTCCTGGGCATGATAGCGCTCACCACCCTTGGGGAGCGATGGAAAAGAGATGGCCAATGAAAGCGCGATCACAAACACCAGCTCTTCCTCATCCTCAGCTCTGGCTCCCTGGAAGGGCTTCTTGTTTCTGCACCCTCCGGCGCAGTATCTTCACATGCTGCCTGGCCAGCAACTTCCAGTGTAGAGTCTTGAGCAAAGGAGGTCTTGATCTCCAAGGTCTTGAAGCCTCCCTCCAGCCTCATCGTCGTCCGCGTCAAGTCTAGAGGTTTTGGGAAGGCCAAGGCTTGACCGCGCCATTCCAGTAGGTCTGTGTTGCGCCTAAATCCAAATTCTGAAAGGCGCCAAGGCGCCTGTCAGCCTTGGAAAGTAAAGTACCAGAAAACTCCAACAGATCAGTTAAGCTTCAGCGCAGCAAACAACTAAACTTGGGAGCTCATGACTTGTGAGCAATGCATTTTGTTTTCTTCTATAGATTCTAGACAAATGGCTGTCAGCGCGCAGTCGTTTTCTCGACCCATAAAGGATAAAGGTCTGGATTTCCGCCCAACACTAGCCAGGGGGGCCTAGTAGAGGGGATCCTGCCAAGTCTTAGGGGGTCTGTCCTATGCAAAGCTATGAGGCTCTAAGCACTGGGTGGGCTGATAGTTTTCAGGTCCAGCGGTCTAGCGCGCGTATGCGTACGTGATTTTTCATCATGATTCCAGGATGGTTCTGCGTTTTTCTCAAATAGTTTTATGCAGCCATATGATGGCGGTGCGGATGAGTTGGTGGGGTTTCGACCACCTCGAGGACACAATGCGTGCAAGTGTCAAGGAGTGCACCTGAGAAGCAAAATGGATCTCAATTGTGCTGATGAGGCTCGCCTACGGGGTGCGCACGAACCCTCCCGGCAAGCATCACCAATACAATTTGGGCCACATTGAGAACAAGATCAACCTTGCGACTACTGTCACGAGTACTATTCCAAGCACGCCCCATTGCTTGTTTGCACGCACCCCCTAGAAACTACTGTACAAGTGTCTGAAAACGGTACCAGAACACAGTGTTGAATATTGGGATGCAGGGAAAGCATGGGGAAAGCGGAGGGGGGAGGGGGCATAGTTTCGTACCTCGTGAGAAAATGTACTGCGTGAGAGAGCAGGCTTTACTTTCAAGTTTATTTACATTTCAGTCAAGGCACGTCTCTACGTCCCTTAGGATTCCACGTCTGCCCTTTACAATCAGCAGCGACTGTTGCTTGTCGAAATTGACGGCCCTTCCACGGTTTCACGCTCATTTTCAGGGACGTGTGGTTGGTCGGGGTGGCTCAAAAACATCTCAGTCTTGGCAGGCTTGTGATCGTGGCAAGCTGCTGCGGCAGTGTGCAGTCAAGTCCGTTTTTCTAGGAGTAGAAACTGGGAGATAGGCAGGTGGGTGTGGTATGGTTGCCAATTTGTGCAATGCCCTGGGCAGTGTGCATTGATCGCGAGGAGAGAGACTCCTCTCATCCTTTCCTGCATCCCTCGAAAGACAGTTATGTGTGCCAAGCACTTTTCGCGGCAGAGGAGCTGAGCGAAGCGGTCGCCATGGAACCTCCGGTGCTCAAGGAGCTGATCACAGCATTCTCCAGAGAGCAGAAAGAGAAGGTCTGAAGGGAGCCTACAACTGTCGAACATGCATCGCGCTTGCATTCTTGCTGAAGGTCTACGTGCAGCACAGACTCAGAGAGAAGTCAGAGCAGGCACGCGTCCTTTTCCACATGCCCCGAGCAGATCGCAAGATGTTTTTGAGCTTTGCGTCGCTCAGCCTGGCTCTGCATTGGGGCTGGAGCTGGTTCAGTTGACATTTCAAATTTGCACATTCACCCAGCAGTTTTCGAGAACCCGGGAACCGGAATGTCGTGCTCTCTTTAGTCTTGGCCCTGCAACAATCGGGGCAGCAGAAACCCAAAACACGCGTCCTCGTTAGCCGTTAGCGCTCCTTCAGTTCCTCTGGAGATTGATTTCCATGAGGATGGTCTCCGAAACCGCGGGACATTGAGGAGGGTCTTCAAACATTAGCCTGAAACTCTTTAATTAAGTGGGGGTCTGAGACACGTTATAGAGGTTTCTCCGTGCGAACGAGTGCAACAGTACGGGCAGTTGGGACATGTGTGTCGCTTTGAAGCTGGCTGTGTCCAGGTTAAGCAGATGGTGGCGGACGGAGGTTACATCTACGTGTGTGGAGCTACAAGCATGGGCAAGCAGGCTGGGTGGGCTGCGTGGTGGTGTCGTTGGCAGCTTCTGTCTTGCGTGTGCTAGGTTCGGGACGAGCTAGAGCTTGCGCTGGGCAGTGCAGACTATGTTGAACGGCTGAAGACAGAGCAGCGCTACGTAGAAGAGCTGTGGTGAGGTGCTGCTGCAGTGCCATTTCTGGCGGTGCTGCTACAGTGCCGTTTTCCTGCATCACGTCAGTGCAGTTTGAGTTTCACCGCATACCATTTCGCATGCAGATGTCTGAGATGTCTTCGATGTCCCACCATCATAATTGTTGGGTATCATCTTGCATGATTTGCAAGTGGGGGAGGGCTGCCCCCCGAACCCCTTCTGAAGTAAATCTTATTTCCTTACCAATTACAATTCTCATCACGCATCCTCATACTTATTCAGGATGTGTCCATCATACCTCATAATGTGCATCATGCTTCATTGGTCATTTTTGCATCATGCCGCATGCTTCATCATTTTCCATCATGTTTCATGATACTTCATCGTTTTCATCATCTTCCGTCGTTGTTCACGATTTCCAGCAAGCTCTACCAGCTTTCATAGTATTCCAATATCTTTCATCTTTTTTCATCTTTCCATCTCTTCATCACATTGCATACCATTGCATCATTTTCATGATTTTGCCGCAACGTCAAAGACTTCATCATGCTTCATCGTTTCTGACGCTTTTCATCATCTTCACATCTGTACTTTTCCCATCATGTTTTTATGAATTTCCATCATTCCCTATCAGGTTTCACGATGTTCCATCATTTTCCCATCATTCCCCCTCCCCCGCACACCCCTCCGCCCAACCCCCGGCCTATCCCCGTATGATGTTCCACCCAGAAAGGAGCGCCTCCACCAAAAACAGGCACTAAAACATCTCCACCCCAAGAGGCAAGACACTGCAGCTCAACAACTCTGACAAGTACAGGTGGGCGACTGCCCCCGTATGTTCCTTTTACACCGATACAGCAGCAGCTGCTGCTGCAGGTGATGCTGGCACGGCTGCAGTTCTTGCTGCAGCTGTTGCTGCTGTTGTTGCGGCTGTGGCTGCTAAGTGCCACTTGCTGCGGCAAAGTAAAGTTGACATTTTTCAGCAGGTCAGCAATGCGTCATGTATGCAGAGCTGCATCGAAGCAGATCACCAGTGGCTGCAGTTTCACATGCCGTCGGGTCGATGGCTCCGCCAAGATTTCACCAAAGCTTGTTGGGCATTGCATAGATAAATCTAGAGGCAGCCTTGCGCTGAGCTGGAAGCTGACGCCCAGCAAGTCCACCCGTTTCGACTTCAATGGAGGGAGGTCAGCGCATGTGGCGCTGGCAAGGCAACCACTCGTACACGCACTAATTCATGTGGGCCAAACAGCACCACCAGACCGCCCACCATGAGTCCTTAGCTTAGCTGCAAGCTGTACAGGAGCTCTGCGGTATATGACACAAAAGCGCCTGCCACAGAAGAATTTGTTTGGAGGGAGAATGTGTGCCTTTTTGCAGGTGGAGGGCCTGGCACGCGAGCCAGCCAAAGATCCGGAGGAGCTCAAGGCACATATTAGAGTTATAGTTCTTAGAGCTTAGTCCATTCAAGGCTGGCTTGCTGCATCTTTTTGCATGTGTGTTGGAGGCTGTGTTTCAGCGCGGTCTTGAGCAGCGCTCGGTGGCCGAAAATGCGATGAATGCAGAGAGTTCGAGGTCCCATGTGATCTTCACAGTTGCTGGGCTTGCAAAGTCCTGTCTTGACTTAGCGCAATTGCATGGTCTGCTGCATGTCTGGAGTTAAGAGAAACCAAGGTCTTTTTGACACAAGACGTTATTTCTCAGCAAGGTGGCGTAGAGCGCATCACCAGTAAGTTGCATCTTGGCTGAGTACACATCCAGACTACGATTTTTTCTGGACCGGCAAGCGCCGCACTGCCGAGGCACTTCTGCGACCTGGGTGGTTGTGAACGGTTGAAAAAAACAGAGGCAGCGTTTTCTTCTAGAAGACACAGGAAAAAAGCTTGCCTGCAGGTAGAACAGGATCGAGACCGCCGACTGGAAGCCATTGAAATCAACAAAAGCCTTTCAGCTCTTGGAGATGTGATCGAGGCTGGGCGCGTAGATTTTTGATGACATCTATTTGCCTCTCCCTGAGGCAATTGCGAAGAAGCGGAAGTACATTCCTTACAGGACATCCGATTCTGAAGACTGGGCCAAACCACATAGCATTGAGCCAGCTGGCCCTGGCCATCAGCATGCTGCTTTAGCACTCTTTGGGAGGATCCTTTCACATGCAGCATGGGAATTCGCTGTTCACTGGCTTTGACTTACCTGGTTGTCCAGAATGATCAAAGACATGTATCAGGGCGCATGTAAGAGTAAAAGTTGCGCGAAACCAAAACCTGCGTGGCCACGGGGCCAGATGCCTATTCCACAGCACAGCCTGACAACAGAAGCTTGGCTGTGGTTCGCTGTTGTGGTGCGAGCATGGTTTGGCCATTTTCTTTGCCAGACCAGCAATCCAATTCCTCCGAAAATTCCCATGAGCATGATGGCCGACAGCATTCTGTGCCATGCGCACCTCAAGAGTGTGCTTTTTGTGGCAGGAACCACAAGCTCACGCAGTTGCTCCAGGATGCCCTGGGCGGAAACGCAAAAGCCTGCTCCCACAACTTCCGCGCTCGTCGCGGTTTCAAGCAGGTCGGACCATGTTCCAAATTCCAAACAATCTAAGGCCTTGATGTACGTGAACTGCTCGCCTGCGCAGTCTAGCATCAAAGAGACGGTGCTGCTGCCTTTGTTTGCAGAGGTCATTGAGGTGTGGTTCAGTTCCAACGACATGCAGGTGACGGCCTTGAAGCTGGCAAACCGAGCCAAGCGCATTGCTCTGGGCCCTGAGACTGGAAAGTTTTAAGTTTGGAGCACGTCATTCAGAAGCCTGCTGTTGTGTCTCTGATCTGCAGCCTGATTTGGCTGGATTCGTGTAAAGTCAAGATGCATGTCACAAGTTACGCACGACATTGCACGTCCTGGCTCAGCGTCTTAACGTTGAATGAGTTTCGCTAGATGCAGGTCATGAAATGCACCAACAGCTGAGTTTCTAAGTCGCACACTGTATTTCAATCTGCAGTTGTCATGAACCAGTAGGGCCAGTAAGGTTACACACAGGAGCAAAACTGCGATGGGGGCATTTGCTTTGCCAATACAGGTGCCAGTGGCTGCAATCTTCAATTTGTGCTTGCACTTGCTGCCGGGTCTGTTAGGAGAGGCCCTGCGCAGCACCTTTCAATGCACGGAGTGCCAACCCAGTGCCTGTGCAGGTGACATGTTCAGGGACAAGTTTCGCTGCCACAGGTGCCACGGATGCGGGCAGCCACATCTCTTTCTACACGTATGTTCGAAATGCAAGCGCTTGCTCGGTGCTTTTGCAGAGTAAGTCGAAAACAAAGCTCATGTCTGAAGAGGTGGCCAGCCTTGTTTGTCTCTGAGCTTGAGCCTGACGATACCGCTTGTGGAGTTGATGACTTCGCTGGCTGTTCCTTGACTGCAGCGTGGCAAATCAAGCAGCTCACTTGCTGTAACTGCTCGACTGCTCGAGATCCTGTAAGGATCTCCAGAAGGCAAACCAAACAGGCCTGCGGAATCTCACTGCGTTTTGGCTCACTCTCTAAACGTTGCCCACAGGCGCGCCGGTACGAGAAGTCGTCGATGACAGCCATATGTTCCTGGAGCCTGAAGATAGCGAGGCCATGCGGCTTAGAAGATTTCTTCGATGCTCTCTGGCTGCGGTCAGATCGCCTCGATGATGGAGTCCCGGAGAATGGAGAACAAAGGCCCCGAGGTCAGTGCCAAGGAGCCGGTGCGAGAGGCCGGAAAACTAATACTGACGGTTGCGCATGCGGCAAAGATGGTATCTCCTCAGGCTGGCTGGGTTTACCAAGTGCGAGTGCGATGCTTTCTTTTGGCAGGTTCCGCAGTGGGAGCTGATGCCTCCTCCGCCCCTAAAAGGATCTCCGTGCAACAGCGTAAAGGAATTTGGAGGGTCGAGAGCCAGTCCAGAGTGGAGGACTGGCATTCGAGACTTCAACAGCAGCGCACGGAACAGCCTGAGGTGCCAGACGATTCGAGTGACGAACCTCATCAAAGGCCTCAAGGCAAATGAGGTCGAGTCCGTGTTTTCATCCGAGGCTGGCCCCGTGAAATGTAAGTGCTAAAAGTTGGGGGGGGGGGGCTTGCCGCATCGAAGCTGTTATTGTAGATTGAAGCTGTGACACGAATTGACCAGGTGGGGCCGGTTACAGACTGCAGCGTCAACGACACGACTGCGCGTATTACTTTCAGTGCATCCAATCACGCAAAGAATGCCGTCGATCGATTCAACGGCAGCATCCTCGACTCTCCGACTTGACAATTCCCAGTCCCATTTTATTTATCATTCCATGTTGCGCAGCTTTGCAACTGAGGAATCAACAGCTAGAGCTGACAAGCAGGATTCCCGAGCCCTGCATCTACACCCCGTCCCCTGGAACAGCGCAGGGACAGTATTGCGCGAGATGCTGCTTGTCATAATCTGGCAGTGGCTTCTAACGGGTCTTCAAATTATAGGGTCGTTGAAATGAATGTTTTTGCGACCTCCCCAGCATCCCTTGCACAGTTTTGGCTGGGCCTACGAGACTGGAATGCAACTCAGCAATGCACCTGAGCCTGGTGCTGGCCCAGATGAAACACCGCTCCAGAACCTGTATGCAAGTTTGGCAGTCTGCACCCTGAAAGAACTGAGCAAACTGATACCACGGGTCTCCGGCCGTATTCTCTTGGAGATCAAGTTTCTTGCCGCAGCAGCCTTCCCCCTAATCCGTGCTCCCGATTAATTAAGGCGACCCCCGCCCCCAAAATGAAAAACCTTATTCTAGGGCCCTAGGGAATCCAGATTGCAGAAGGAAACTATATATGTGGAACTGGAAGTCAAATTTAATTCAAATCCGATTGAAACAGGCTGAAATTTCATTAAACATGTAATTGAAATCCGTCTCGTAAAAGGTAGTCTATCATTGGAACTCCAAGTAGCATCTATCGAAACCTAATTCAAGTCCATTGAATTCTGGTTGGATTCCAAATACACTCAATTGAAAAACCAAAGAAACAAGAGCTAAGGCAAACGCGAAAATCCTAAATTTTAAATTCAATCCCAGAGTAATTATGTGGAAGCCAAAGAACAAGGTAACGAGAAGCTCTGGAAATTTGATTAAATCTCGGTTGATTCAGTCTTGGTTTGAACGGGCTGAAGCTGATTATGAATGTAATTGAAATTCGGCTATAACAAAGTAGAACATCATTGAATTTCAAGTAAAATCTAATTGTAATCCAGTGCAATGTACATGTGAAGCAATAGAATTTTGACTTAAATCCATTCACATCTCCTTGGGTCCTAAGCAAAATCAATTGAAATCCTAGAGTTTTGCCTCTAAGTTCTAAAGCAGCATAAGAGAAACATATATTTGTGGAACATGAAAGCCAACTTAACTGAACTCTGGTAAACTCTAAAACCTTCAGCAGCAGCTTTGCTTTTCCCATTTTCAGTGTAGGCAAGTAAGCGAGCTGACCTAAACCTTAAGCCTTAAGTCTTTAAGGTGAGCTCCTGAATCTATTTACGAATTTAACTAATAGATGCTCCAAGACATTTGTGAATCAATCAAACCCTTTTTAGAATTAGAATCATTTGAACAATTATGGTTAGTTTTTTCTATGATTTTAGTGCGTTTTCGTTAAATGAAGAGAGACCCTCCCACGCAAGCTCTGTAAGGCGTATCTCAGGAAGCAATGTTCGAGCCTTTAATTTCTAACAGACTTTAGTAAGCAAATCAGCCTTCAAAATCAGCTTTGCTTCTCTCATCTTCAGAACAGCCAAGAAAGCGAGTCTCCCTAAGCCTGGAGCTTTTCAAGACGATCTCCTGAATCTAATTAAGAATTAAACTAAACGTAATTCCAAATCATGTGTAAACCAATCCAAACCTATTAAAGATCAAGTAACAACCCATTAAAAGTCCTTCTATTGTTTTCTGGGATTTGGAAATAATATTTTTTTTGGTCTAGTGCTTTTTGGCCCAAACGTGCCTCTGCATTTGAGGGTTGTCCGAAAAGCCTTGTCTAGAAGTTTAGATTAACGAAAACCAAGTACAACAAAATTTGTCAAAAACCCTGCGCGCGCAAGCTCCGCGCAAGCACGGCGCAAGGTTGGCGCAAGGGCTCAAAAACGCTCATGGTATTAGTTTTATAGTGTGATGTGCCTGCGCGAAAACCATTGTGAGCC